CGGAGATTTCAGCCCTGAGCAGCTGCTCTTGAAATCCTGCCCTGCGATAACCCAGTCCCTGGAGCAGGAGCCACGTGGGCCAGAGCCAACCACAGAGCTAAGGTCGGATCCTGGGTGGCCCTGGGCTTTGTCTACTTCAGAGACACTGAAAGGTGCCCCCTGGGGACACCTATGTCTGCCTGCCAGGCCCTCATCCAAGGCCGGGCTGGCGTGGTCATTGAGCAGGGCCCTGTCCAGAGAGGCCCGGGAGCAGAGTGGAGGGGCGTCGGCCCAGATGCTGTCCCAGGCCCATCCCTCCCACTGGAGGAGGCCAGGGACTGCATGGGGAGTGGGCCCAGCGCAGCTGTGACCTCGCCAGCCCCTTGGGGTCAGGTCGGTTCTGTCCCTGGGAGATGATGAACAGCCCTCGGAGGGGCTGTGAGGATCAGCCAGTGCCTCTCCACACCGCTCTGCCTGGCTTTCTCCAGAATGGACGGATTTTCAGGAATCAGCTCATTTTAACTGAAATTCAAGAGCTCTCTCTTTGGGCCATGCCTCCTGGGCCAGGCCTATAATGCCTGCACTCTGGGAGGCTGAGGGAGGAGGATCGACAATTTGAGCCCAACCTGGGTAATTTAGCCACTTTGTAAGACCCTGTCTCAAAAATTAAAAAAGGGTTGGGATACATCTCAGTGTGAAGGTCCTGGGTTTGATACCCATTAATGCCAAAAAAAAAAAAAAAAGGTCTCTGTTTGGAACAGGTTTCAATCCAGGGTGCTCTAGCTGTGGTTCTTGGGCCCAGGAGCTGGCTGGGAATGCAGAGCCTCAGGCCCCAAAGCCCCATGGCCAGGATCCACTGCTCGGAGACCGAGACCACCGCCCCACCCACGGGAAGTGCCAGTCAGCACCATCTCCCTCCCACCCCTCTCCTGTCCTCTCCTGTCCTCCTCATTTTGCATTTGTTTTTCTAACATGTGCTGTCATTACTGGGCATGCTCTTGCATGCCTGTAATCCCAGCACTCCCGAGGCTGAGGCAGGAGAATCATGGAAAGTTCAAGGCCAGCCTAAGCTCCATAGTCAGAACCTGTCTCAAAAAACAAACCAACAAATAAACAAACTAAGACGTGCTATAACTGTGTTGCTTCAGCTGAGTTCGTGATTCTCCTGCCTCAGCCTCCTGAGTGCTGGGCTCACAGGCATTTTGACTATCTTTAATCTGTTATTCGAGAGCCAACATCTGCTGAACATTTTATGCACAACAGGCATGTGAGAAACATTTTACGGGCCTGATTTCTTCCTCCTGTGCCCATTTCATGGGTAAAGCAGCCGAGCTGAGGTGGTTTAGCGCCCGCCCACTAGAGCCTCGTGTCAAAGCCCAGCCTCTCACCCAACCTGTCTGTCACGCTGCTGGCCGGTGTAAGCCACTCCCCACGCCCAGAGGGGATCAGGGCGGCATCTGGGAGGTGGGGGTTCGAGTCCCCTGCTCCCCTGGGACTCTCTGAGACCCTGAAGGTGCTGGTGCGGGACAGAGATGAGGTGGATGGGGCTCAGGGCTCGCCAGAGGCCCCGAAGCCTCTTCAGCCACCACGGAAGGGGAAAGGGAGGAGGGCACTGCGGACAGGACAGACCTCGGACCCCACTGCTGCGTGTGCCTCACAGGACAGGAAGTCACAGTCAGAACCCTGCTGCGACGCGGTGGTCGGGCCAGGTGGCGCGCACCTGGGACCCCAGCTGCCAGGGAGGCCGAAGCAGGACAATGGCAAGTTCGAGGCCAGCCTGGCCAACTTGGTGAGGCCCTTTCTCAACAATGAAAAATGTCTAAAGGGCCGGGGGTGGAGCTCAGTGCCAATGCCCTGGGTTCCATCCCCGGGACGGAGAGGAAAAAAGTGGCAAATGTCTCAAGCACGGGAAGCTCAGAATCCATCCAGAACAAGTGCCCAGGCGTGCTGTGTCCTGCACTTATCATCTTCTGGTTTGAATTATGGTTGGGCTTTTCATTTGTTTGTTTTTAGAGTCGGAGTTTCCCTACGTAGTCCAGGCTGGCCTCCTGCCTCAGCCTCCTCAGTGCTGGGACCACAGGCCTGCGCCCCCACACCTGGCTGTATCCCCTATTTTGAGACAAGGTCTCTCAGAGTCACCAAGTTGCCCAGCCTGGGCTTGAACCTGCAGTCCTGCCTCAGCCTCCTGGATCACAGGCATGTGCCACCATGCCCAACTAATCTTTTAAGACAAACTTTTCATTTTGGAATGATTTTAGCTTTACAGGAAGTTGCAAAGAGAGTGGAGAGCCCCCCCATCCTCACTGTTGCTTCTGAGGATCGCTTAGGGCTTACCGAGGTGCATCGGTCACAACGAAGGGACAACACCGACACGTGACTGTGGACTGGATGCCGGGCTGCTACAGACTTTGCCCCTCTCCTGACCCCGCCCTGCTCCCCGAAGGCGCACTGCTCCGGGCTAAATCAGTTCCAAAGTCCCACCTGGCTCTGAACACGGGAGCGGAAGCCCTCTGGCTGCAGGCTGTCATGGGAGTTATCAAATGTGCCTGAGCTGGGTGACTTTGGCTGAGCCCTCACCCTCTCTGTTCTCCATCTCTTCAGTTACAGAAAGCAGATGACAGCAGTGTGCCTCATGGGAGGCTTCAAGGTGTTTTCCTGCTTTCCTCGGAGCACTCAGCAGGGCTTCTCCAGCACCAGGAGCTGCTGGATGGAACTCAGCTGGGCGGACGAGCCCAGTGCCTGCACAGCTCAACAAAGCCTTGGCTGCAATTGAGATGATCAAAGAAGCAACTGACCCGGGCGCGGCGGCGCAAACCTGCAATCCAGCACTCCGGTGCTGAGGCAGGAGGATCACCATGAGGTCAAGGCCAACCTGGACTACACAGTGAGACTGTCTCAAAAAAAAAGTAAAAGATGAGCAAAGGAGTTGGTGTGGTGGCACATGCCTGTAATCCTAGCACACAGGAGGCTGAGGCAGGAGGATTGTAAATTCAACCCCAGCCTGGACAGTTTATTGAGACACTGTCTCAAAATAAAAAGTAAAAAGGTCTTCGGAAATAGCTTAGTGCCAAAGCCCTGAGTTCCATCCCTGGTTCCACCATTAAAAAAATTACAATTAGCAAATGGGGACCAGGCAGACTGCTTGCTTGTGATCAGGTAGCAGAAGGACTTCAGAGCTGGGCTGATCTCAACACTGCCACTTCCATGTTCCTGGCTCTGACTGAGGGCCAATCAGGCTGTGTGCTGCTGAAGGGCATCCAGCCACCTGCCCTCCCTGCATGCACCGCCCACCTGTGACGCCCACCCATCTCTGCTGGCATCTGACACTCTCCTGTGGTAGGCCCTGTGCTGAGTGCTGGGGATCCAGGGGAGAATAAGCCTGCCACAGCCCCTCACCTCACAGAGCTTTGCTTCCAGCCTCCTAGGGCAGGGTCTCAGTCTTTGTTTCCCAAGTCTACCAGTTTCTGGCACATAGTAGGTACATGGTAAATGTTTGTTGAATGAATAATGGACCCCCCCTTTTAGTTATGTGTCTGTGTTTTTGACTGATGTACGGGGTAATTTTAAGGACATTAATACAGCCAAAGACTTCATATCTGTGTTTGTCTTGAGCCAACTTCTCGTCATTCTTAGCAGAAAACTCGGTGTGGATGTGCTGACAGAGCACTGGGCACAGAGTCCAAAGACCCCAGTTCCGGTCTGTGCTCTGCCCTGCTTGCTCCTCAGTGGCTGCTGGAAGTCTTAGTTTCCCCAACTGTGTGCAGCTCACTCGGCTGCTGTGTGTATAAAGGCACTTGTAGGAGGTATGTGAATAAAAAAGTGAAAAAACAAAACTTCTAGAAGGCACACTGAGGTGTTAGCAGCATGATTTACTCAAATGTGGAATTCGTGGATGCACAGAGAGAATGAAGGCAATCAGCACACTCACGCAAAGCGTCTACACAGGGGGGTCCCAGTAACCCCAGATGTGTCCCAGCCTCGGAAGAGATGACTCATGGGTTTGTGACGTCACCGTCGCCGGCCGGGCCTGACCCACACTTCTGGGCACTGCTCGTGTGACAGAACGAGGCAGTGTCACAACCCTGACTGCGGGCAGTGTTTTGAAGTCCAGAGACAAACGCTGCATGGGGTCCAAAGCATCTGCACTGTGTGTGCCCAAGTTCTGCCCAGCAGCTCCTGGGTTCCGCAAGCAGGGACCCCTGCCTGCCGCAGGATGCTGCCCGGGACCTTCAGGGCCACTGCCCACCTGCCTCAGACGCAGCCTTTCCACTCGTGTCCAGCCCCGGTCTTGAGGCCCACGCTGCCCCTAGCTCAGGACCAGGTCTGCATCTGGGGTGAGCTCAGCGGGTCCCCATCACCCGTGACTCCTGCCGCCTCCTTGCAGAAGTCAGAGCTGATGACCTGGTGCTGTCTGACTTCCACCAGTTGGGTTAAAACTGGCCCTCGGCGGCCGTCACCGTGGTGGCAGGAGGCGGGAGGGAGCAGTGAGCGCCTGCCTGTGTCCCTGCCCAGACCTGGCTGCCGGTACTGGTCACTGTGCTGCACCTCCCTCCTCACGTAGTCCACTGGTCCAGTCTGCAGACCCTACGGTGGTAAGGAAGCTACAGACCGCACGGAATCAAACATGCTTTCCCTGTCTCCGTGAGTCACATTCACGCTTTCCTTTCCTTTTTACAGCAATAGGAACAGGGTTGGGGCTCCATCTGCCCTTTAATTAGTAGGGGGCTCTCAACAGGAGGCCTCGGAGGGCTTTGGGACCCACCAGACCTCCAGGAAGATGAAGTTCTGGATTCGACACTGTCCTGAGGGCTCATAGCTTGTGTCAGATTCTCGAAGTTCCTGGCCCACAGACAAAGCCAGGAGCAGCAGTCTTCAGCCCCTTCCTTCCAGCGTGCCCTACTCAGCCGGCCCAGGCCCCTGCCAGCCTGGTCTCCCCAAATGAGCCCCCACCTACCGCCTCTGCCCACGGAGGCAGGCAGAGGATGCGTTCAAGTCTGCCCCGAAGAAACTCACCACGCCTCTGTACGAAAGCAGATTTATTAAATGTCTCTACAGTGACGGGGGGCTCACGCCCCCCCCCCACACACAGGGATCTAGTGTTTCTAGCTGTCCGGCAGAAGCACTGCCAGCCCGGAGTCTCCAGCCGGGTAACGTATCACAGATACAAGAGTCAAACAACCTCGACAGCAAGAGTGTGACAGAGGCCTGTCCCCCGCTCCAAGTCCCATGATTCTGTCAAGGTAATATTGCCAACAGCCATTCACATTTCATGTGGCTTTACACACGCAGGTGATTCAGACAAACACAGAACGAACAAGCCCAGGAGCCGAACACGACAACAAATCAGACGTCTGTAGAAAAGGGAAAAGGTATGTACAAAGTACACAGTACGTGAGGTATACACGGCATTCTCACAATGCAGGTTAGTAGTTTGCCTAGGCGTAGCCCTTAAAGATGCCTGCCTGGCTTTGTGCCATTTCTCAAAATACAGTATGCTTGGTTTACCCGTTTCACCATCCGACTGCAGCACTCTCACTGGTTTTAATGCAAGCGGCAGTTTCTCGGCGAAACTCCACCACCGCAGGACGGAGCTCTTGGTAGGAGCTAATCGTGGGAGCAGAGGACCCTCGAAGAGAGCGGGGGCTTCGGCACCAGGGGTGGGAGCCACGCCCGAGAAGCAGGCCGGATGATTTCCAAGTCCTAAGCAACTGGGTGTTTGGGGCTCACTGCGCCCCTCCAGAAGCCGCTGCACAGGTATCTCCACGGGGCCACGGCATGCTATGGAGTCGGTGTGAGGGGCTCCTCACCCCAACATACGCTTTCTTGGAAGCATGAAGACATTTAAGGTTTGCCCCTCTTCGAGAAGGGTGAGAAGTCTCCTTATCTGTCTCCCCGAACAGAACGCCCCACCTAAGTCCTCTTGGGGAAAGAAAGCAAGGGACTAAGTGCTAGGGGATTTCAGGGGCACCCAGGAGCCAATGGCGCAAGTGATCAGATTCGTTCTAAGGAAGTGGAGGCTGAGCTCTGGGGCCAAAGCAGCTGGGTGTTAAAGCTTTTGGTGGGTTCTCAGGATGAGCTGGCAAGGCCTTCACCGCTGTGGGGGAAGGTTCCAAGGAGCCACTGTTGCCTGGGGCGCCTCGGCAGGACTCAGGAAGACCCCCGAGCTCCTCCGTCTGCCCCAGCAATGGAGCAGAGCCATTGGGAAGTCTGAGTGTTAAACCAGAAGAACTTCGGATCAGAGAAACCGCGGTAGCAAGTCCAGCTAGCAAAGACGAGTCCAAAGATGGCAAGGCTGTTGGCCCAAGCTGTCCAGCATCCTGATAAAAGTTACTGCCCAAAGAACCACTGTTCAATCAGCCTCTTTCCCACTCCAACGTTTCAGTTTGTGACATCTGAACACACGTGGGACACCCACATTCTCCACCCCGAATCCAACACAGGGAGAGCTGGTGACAGTGTGTGAAGCAGGGGATGCCTCCGCCACTGCAAAGTCAGATGGACGCTGCCTGGACCAAGAGTCGCTCCTCCCAACACTGCGGCCCTCAAGACGCAGCCACTGCTCTGTGGCACCGTGCCAGAGGGCCTGCCCGTCTTCAGAAATGGAAATGCCATGTGTGAAAATTCTGAGGTTTCTGAGGTTTCTGGGATTAGCAAAAGAAGGAACTAATGTCACTATCCTCCTGGTACTCTGGAACAATCTGGTCTGAAGTTCCTATTTCTGAGTCAACGTACCCAGGTTCCACGGTGGATGCAAACCAGGGATGGAGTAAGATTTCAGGAGCAGTGAGTCTCTCGGAAGGCTCTCGTCTCAGGAGGCTGCGGATGAGGCACCTGGCTTTGGGGGAAATGTGGTCGGGAATGCAGAACTGTCCACGGCGGATTTTGGAGAAGAGGGCACTGGGGTCCGAGTCGTGGAAGGGGTACCGTCCGACCAGGAGGGTGTAGAGCATCACACCCAGGCTCCACACGTCTGCGGCCTTTCCGGAGTAGGTCCCCGTGGTGTTGAGGATCTCAGGGCTCACGTAGGCTGGGCAGCCGTGTTTGTCTGACAAGGCATCGTCTTCGCCCTTGATTATGTGCGTATCTTCTAGGCTTTCCAGTCTCAGCTGAGCTCTGCAGGACAGAAGAACCAGGCTGTTAAGTCCAGACCAGGTCTATGGAAATCAGGCTCGGCCAAGCCTGGCCGCACCTGCAATCCCAGCTCTCCCAGAGGCCAGCCTGGGTAACTTAGCGAGACCACGCCTCGAAATAAAAACAGCTGGAGGGCCGGGGATTTAGCTCAGTGGTTCCGCTGCCTGCCTTACAAGCACAAGGACCCGAGTTTGATCCCCGATACAAAAAAAAAAAAAAACAGCTGGAGATGCAGCTCAGGGGCAGTGTTTGCCCAGCAGGTATGAGGCCCTCGGCTCAATCCCCAATAACCACAAAAAACAAGAAACAGCAACAAGGCCTTCCCAGAACCCGCATCCACAGGCGCTCACTGCAGAGGTTCGGGAATGCCATTTACCCCTTCCCCAGTAAGTCACAATTTCACAAACCAATGCAAACTGCAACAAACGTTTGCAAAGTACGGAGAGAACGCCTGGGTGGAGAGTATGATGCAAAGTCCCAAATAATAGTCATGATGCTCGAGCTTGTAGGAGATGCCCTAGCGGGTCACACAGAGTTCACACTGCAGAGCCGCCACAAAGCTCTCAGGGAACAGCAAGCAGTATCTCCTCCTTCCTCGGGGAGGGCAGGAGCGACCTTCAAGCCAATCTTTTCTCAGGACGCTGAGGGCCAGGGCCACTCGGACACGTTTTGCACTAGGGAGCACAGAGCAGTCACTGTTGGTGTGTGTGAGTCATCAGCACTGCCCACACTGACACATACACGTGAGGAAACTTGCCTGGGTCCCAGGCCTGCTCCCTGGGATGGGAAAGCTGCAAGGAATGCTAATCACACTGACGGGGTGTTTCATGGCTGGGAACAGCAGCTTGCAGACAGTGAACAAGCAAGACTGGTGGTGACCTGAGGCACCCCAGAACTCCTGCCTAGGCACACGTGTTTACTCTGGAGGGGAGGGCTCTGCCCTGGAAACAACCACACTGACAATCCTCTGGTCAGGGCTCTCTCGTGAAGCTGCAGGTAAGCAGCCACTCGCGGCCCCAGAGCTTGAAGCTGGGCTGGGGGCTTCACAGCAGCCTCTCCCTGCTTCTCCACAACAGCCCTGTCTTCTGCAAGTCACTCGCTGGGAACCAAGTGCACACAGCCGGCACAAGCCCATGGGTCAATTCCTTTTCCTCTGAAAGGTCTGGGCTTTTTTCTTTTCTTCTGCCCTTCCTGCCTTGCTGCTCCCTGGAGTGTAGTATACATGTGCTAACTTCAGTATGTCCTCAGCCTGACCTCCCTGTCGTTATGTAAAATACCCATTGGTTCTGTAAACGGAAAATATGACTCAACACGCACTGGCTGCCCCTGATTGGCTGCTGTAGGACTGAGCCCTGCACCTGCGCTGGTTACACGAACAGTGTCAGCCTGCCATTGCTTAACCCCCGGGTTGCCAAACCCCGTGCCCATGACACTGGCCTGTGCAACGCAGATTTCAAAAGCTAGCAAGGAGATGTGTAAGGCATGTTTCAGAAAAATGCATCACCATATCACAGGAACCCAAGTTCCAGGAATTGGACACTTCTTCATTGCAAACAGCTTGCTTTTCTTTGCTAATGAGTATGTTTCAATAATGACTGCAAGGTCATATACAGAGTCAGGCTATGGCATTCAGCCCGGTACTTTTCAGGGTGCTCTGGAGTTAAAGGTGAAAATGTACAGGTGGAGTAAGCCCTGTGGGGGCAGAAGCAACAAAATAAGTCACCCCTGCCTCTGATTCTAGAGCACTACTGCTGCCAGTCTTTCCACAAGACATGTGGTCCCTGTCTTAAAATCAGGTCTATCTCATGTGGCTTCCTGTACTCTCTTGTCTGAAACCTCCACTTTGAATCTTAATGTCTCATTATTGTCCTATCAAGCTCATCTTGTCCTTTATGAGGTAAGCCATGATCTATATTTAGCAATCAACTCTAGCCAACTTCTATTTACTATTCAGTGTGGCTATTTTCTGAAAATGCAGCCAATGAGATGGCTAAGAACTCACCAGACAATGTGAGGAAAATACAGGGGACCTAGCCTGAAAGACAGCAGAAATGGGTACAAAGGCGGGCAGATTTCTGCAAACATGACAAGGCTGAGCGGCCACGTCTCTAGGCAGAACAGAATACCCTGGTGTTCTGGGTCTGACAACTTCTCCTAGGAGTCCGCACTGCAACACGCAGGTTCCCAACTACAAGCCAAAGGACTGATTTTGCTGACAACATTGAAGACCAACCTTTCTGATCCTGGGGTACGGGGGAGGACCCACAGAAGCACTGAGGGTGCCCAGGCTGCATCCAAGGCGGTACCAAGTAAACCCGTCCTGGCCATAACTTTTCAGGAGCAGGAGGATGTCTAGATAACAAACCTGGGAACAACCGCATCCTGGGGTTGCTCTGCAGCCACACACTGCCCCACACCGCACAACCTGCACCCACCTTTTGGTTTCAAAAGCCCACAGGCGGCCGCTCACCTCTCCTCCGTGGAGAAGACAAACTTCCTAAGCTTCAGGTCCCCCAGCACGATGGCTGACTGGTGGCAGTGGGCAACAGCAGAGACAATCTGCTTGAACAGCCGGGCAGCCTCCTCTTCCCGCAGCCTCTTCCGGCTTCGCACATAGGAGTGCATGTCTCCAAAGTCCTTCTCGAAGAAGACATAGGCCTTGGTTTCCCCGAGGACCACCTCCACGATGCCAGTGATGTTTCTGTGGGATGGCAGCTGGATGTAAGGCCTGATCTTCTCCTGGTAGTGTTTAAGGGGAAACACCTGCGAAGAGAAGGTGACCTGTTAGGGGCTAGGAAAGCAGGCACTGCCTCCAAGTTCCCGAGGGAGCTGGCTGGGAGCCTCTACCCTGAGCTCTAAATGGCAGGCAGTAAGCTCCATTCATCTACTGCCTCTTCTCTCCGCCTCAGCTCACGCAGCCTTAGCTGCTCCGAAACCAGTCACAGCACTGTGGGTGAGCGGGTATCCCGAGGGCTGCTCCTTCCACGCGGGACTGAAGGCAGCGTCTTGCTGCGTGATCCTGACTCCCCTGAGCACAGCCCACAGCTCCCTGCTCTGTGACCCCTCCACAGCTGCAGAGGGAAGGGGGACAGGTTCCCAGCATCTCCAGGGGCTCACAACGGTGCCCAAACATGCACGCGTCTCCCGCACACCCAAAGGCCTGGCCACAGGGAGGCACAGGATGTGGTGACTCTGCAGCCTCCAAGGGGAAGCGCCGGCCACAGAACATGCCTAGCTGTCATTAGTCAGAAGGAAGAGATGACTTGGAAGGAGACGGTGACAGCGCGGGCTTAAGCAACCTGCCTACAGCTGTGAGTCAGGTGTCATCGAGTTCCACTCTCCCGGGAGACCTGGAAGGGGTGCCTGTGAATGGGCTTTTTCATGTCTATCCCCCACCCCACGTGCCCTGCCCCCAAAGGGGAGCATCTCCCCGAAGGAGGCGGCTGGTCTCTTTAAGGGCCTTTGTTCAGTCCAGTTACTCATATCCTAGACTCAACTGGAAATGGTGACACACGGGCTGTCACCATCTGGACCGGGCTATTATCTGCTCACAGGAACTCCTGGGCTTGCACAATGACTAGACCCACCCCACCTCGGAGCTGGTGGCTCTGGCACCAACTGGAAAGATCTCTCTGCCCTCCCTGCTCCCGCCCTGCCCAGGTCTCCCCAAACAGCTCTCGGTGACACCCCCACCCCAGAAAAAGAGACCTCCCCACACACAAACTGGGCTCTAGTGTGCGCCTGACATTTCACGCGCGTGGACAGTAGGTGGCAGCAGCAAGCCCAGGGGAGCGGGGGTGGGGGGGGGGGTCAGGTGAGTTTCGGGAAACCCAGGAGCAACTTTAACTCCAGGGATGGAAGCAGCAGCCCGGGTTCGGGGGTGTCTGAGTCCCCAGCGTCGGGCTCGCAGAGGGTGGACTGTGGGTGCGCGCTGCGTCCGTGCGCGCTGCAGGGAGCCGAAGCCAGCTCCTAGGAGTCAGGTTCACCTCCTCCTCCGGGGTGAGGACCCCCGGCTCCTAAGAAAGTCGCGCCGGAACCAGAGTGAATGGAAGCAAATGCCGCTATCGGCGTGGGCTCTCCAACGTTTACACTGGGCCACATTCCTAGGCTCGCTGCAAGACCCTTAGGACTGTGCCCTCGGAGGCGGAGGTCCAGGGGGTCCGCGGGGCATGCGTCGGACCGGCCTTCGCCGCACACCGCTGAGCCCCAGCCAGGCTCACTCGGGCGGGAGCCCTTCCAGCGGGGCGGACGAGGGCAGGGCAGCGGCGGGCCCGGAACCGTCTACCTCCCACAACTTACAGGGAGCCCACGCGCTGGCTCTAGGGAGCGCCGGGGCTGCTCCAGACGGGGGTCCCCGAGGTCCCACTCCCCAGGGCCCCCGGGCTCCACACTCACCCCGCCCCAAACCCAAGCGCCCGGCCCGGCCGCCTACCTTGCAGCGCAGCTCGCGGCCCGTGTGAATGCACAGCGCCCGGGACACATGCTCGCGCTCGGCCAGGGGCAGCAGCAGGTAGTCGGCGAGGCGGCTGGGCCCCGGCGCGCTCCCGATCCCCGGCGCGGCGGGCGGGGGCTGTGGGCTGCAGGGCGAGCCGGGCGGGCTGAGGTAGTCCGGGGGGCTGGAGCAGTCGGGCGGGCGCGGGCACTTGGCCGCCACGGCCGCCGCGTCGTCCGCGTCCAGCAGGCGCTTGGCCGGGGCGGCCCGGGCGGCCGGGAGCAGCAGGGCCGGACTGCGGGGCTGCGAGGCGCCGCTCACGGCGGAGCGCACGGGGCCGACTCGCATCGCCGGCCCGGCCGGGGCAGCCCCGGCTTCGTAGGTCCCGGGATCCGCGCAGGACGGCGCTGCGGGCTGGGGCCGGCGCCGGCTTCGCCCAGCCCGCGGGACGGGTTCACAGGCAGGGTCTGGCCCGGCCCCACCGGGGCACCGCGGGGCGGCTCCTCGGCGCTCGCCTCGCACGCGGGGACCAGGCTGCCGGGGCTCGGGGCTGGGGCGGGACCCGCGGCACCAGGCTGGCGCCTGCCCGACGGCCCCGGAGACGGAGGCGGCGGCGGCCTGGGCTCGCAGGTCCTGAGCGGCGAGGGCCCAGGCCCGGCGCAGCCGGCGCCCTCCCCAGGCGACGAGTCTCGGCGCCGGAGCAAACTTTTCCGAGCGCCCGATGCCTGCGCTCCGGGCTCCGGGCGTAAGCTAGACAGGAGCGGGGAGCGGCTCGAGTGACGAAGAGCGAGTGTGCGCCGCCCGGCCGCCAGCACCGCCCCCGAGCGCCCGCCCCCGCTGCCGCGCGGTGACTCACGCCAGGCACACACGCTTGCGGCCTCTGTGTAAACACTCGGGAGCGCGTTGTGCAACGGGGGCTGCGGCGACTCGGCCCCGCCGCCCGGCAGTCACCGTCACAGTCACCGGGGCGGGCGGCGCAGGTGGCGGTCCGGGTCTCCCGTGACGTCAGGGACCGGCGCGGGGCGGGGCCGCGGGGGCGAGGCGAGCGCTGATTGGCGCGCGCGCCCCATTCACGCTGCACAATGGGCTGCGGGCACGCGCCGTGGCGCGCCCCCGGCCCCCGCCCCCTTCGCCTGCGGCCGGGCGGGGGAGCCCGAGCCGAGCCGAGCGATTTCTGCTGCTCCTTGGCCCGGAGCTCCGGTGAGAGCGTGGGCGCCGCGGCAGCGGAGCGGGGGACGAAGCTTACAAACCCAGCCTCGGCCGTCGCCCCACGCGCAGTTCCCGTTCCGGGGAAGCCCTGCGCGGTGCTGGTTGCGGCTCTTGCCCCGCCCGGCCCGGCCCCCGGCGTCGGTTCCTCCCACGAGTAGCACCTTCTGCGCGGTGAAGTAGGGCGAACACCTGGCCTTCTGTGCGGCCTCCGCCCGCTCCGGAGCGCACGGAAACGGCTGCCGGCCCGGCTGCTGGGAACAAAGGCGGCGGGAGCGCGGGGCCCACGTGGCCGCCGCCCGGCCGGGAGGTGGCTCGGCCCCGGGATTGGTGAGCGCGGAAGGGCGCCTTGTGCCGCCTCGCGAGGACCTCCGGGGTCTGTCGTTTTTCTTTCTCGAGCGAAGCAGGGCAGTTTGCAGTCCCCAGACGCCCAACCTAGACGACTGTTCCCAGAGTCCTTCCTGCACTGCTGCCAAATACTTACTTTTCAAAAAGCAGGTCAAGCCCCAAGAATAAATGAAGGATTTCCTTATTAATTCTCCCTCCAGCACACGCTAATTAAGCATCTCTTGAGGGAGAGGCGCCAGAGAGTGGAGCAAGGAAATTGAAACAGTGAAAGGAGCTCCGAAGCCCTCTGTGTGTCCTTAGCACTTGGCGTGTGTTACTTTGCTTCCCTTTTACGACCAGCCTACGGCGGTATTTTTTGCCCCATTTCCTGGGAGAAACTGAAGCCTAAAAGACTACATTCCTGGCCGTGGCTAAACAGCTCACACTTGGTGGAGAGGTCAAGCTCCTATAGGCTCCTGTGGGCTAGAGACAGATTGGCTCTGCGGGAGAGGGAGGCCTCCGTGGAAGGAGCGTCAGGCCCGGGCGTGCAGCGGTGGCGCAGGCGGGGGTCTGGGGTCTGGGCGGCCAGGAGGAGCGGGAAGGCCACTGGGCCGTGCGCTGTGAAGGCTCCACGCCAGGCCGAGGAGGTTGCCCTCGCACCCGGGCCCAGGAGCGAGCCCGCCCGAGGTTTCTGCATCTCCAGATCCCCGTGCCAGAGTCTGAGAGCCCCTGCGCTGCCAGCCCGGCCCCTACCCCTTCAGGCAAGCCCAGCGTGGCCCAGAGTAACGGCCGCCCCCAGGACTGGGCCTCAGCAGATTCTGGCTCTGTTCTCGGCTCTTCCGGTGCCCGCCCCGGTTTACCGAGTGGAGGCCTGGAGGGACGAGTGCAGTGGACGCGAGGCAGGTGGCCAGGCTGTCTTCCCTCCTATTTGCGTGGCTGCAGCTCACCTGACCTGTGATGCGGCCCCCAGCACGGACGTGGGGCCGGGGTTCCATTGCCCTGGCCATCCGGGTCAACCTGGCTTCCCAGGAGGCCTATGTCCGGGACGACGGTGGAGCCCGGATGTCGGGGTCCTCGGAAAGGCCTCCCGGATGGGGTCCCCACGGCTGTCCTGAGACTGCCACATCCCAGCTTCTCCCTTGCCATCCTGCGTCTCCCTTCCCCGGGCCCCCTAAAAACCAGCTGATGCTGCTGTCCCGCTCACAGTACACTTCTTGGGGACTCCAGCCTGCGGCAACCATCCTCATGGTCCTGGCTCACTCCAGGGGCTCAGGCTTCTGGGATCAGGTGACCCCACTTCTCCCCCAGTGCTGCTAATCTGAGTCACCCCCGGGTACCGAGTTTGGTCCGTTCTGTTTCTGTTCCTCCAGTACCTCTGTACTGGAATTACCTCTTCATGTTACTCTTTCCCCTGCACTTGGTGGCTAGGCTCCGTTTTCCTGCCTGCCCTCGCTTCCCGCAGTGAGGGCCTAGCCTCACCTGCCAGCAAGCCTGAGCACCTACTCAGCCTAGAGCGCTCCTACTGAGTGCTGAGGCCACAGTGGTGCACAAAGCCAAACTGTCCTCTGGCCCCACATGGGCTCTCGCTCGGAGTCCCTTTCCTAGAGTGGGAATTTGGTCACAGCAGGCTCTGGCCTAGAACCCTGCAGGAAGCCTCAGATAAAGTCTGGATGCCACAGTGGTGAAAAGTAAGCTCTTCCAGATTCCTGCTTCCCTCCCAGCCTCACCCTCCTCACCCCTGTCCCTGGCTTACCCCTGCCTGCCCCTGGCGGGGCCCCAGGTCCTACCTGCCATGGCACACTGCCTTCCTCCTGTGCTGTTCCCTCCTGTGGAATCCCCAGCCCGCCCCTCTTCCTGCCAATCTAATAAACTCTTACTCATCCTTCAGAACACCACCCAGATTTCCCCAGCACCTATGGACAGATGTAAATGTCATGCTGGGTGCAGCCAGATCCTCTGTCTGCCGTCCCTCGGGACCCTCCCCTACGCTGTTTGAAGAGGACAGGGCTGTGGCTCATATATAGTCACCAGCTTCCAGCCGGAGTCTGTTATAAAAGAGGCTTAGTGAGTGTTCACTGAATACATGTTCGGGGGGGATAGGGCCACCCACAGGAGAGCCTGAAGACAGGGAGAGCCAGCATGGGGCGGGGGCTGCAGGCTTCGGGTTGGGGGCCAGACCTGCGTGCAGGAGGAGGTGCTTGGCTGCTGGCAGGGCCTGGGACCAGGGAGGCCGGGACGAGGGCACTCCAGAGGTCTCGGTTCAGTGCAGGGTCCCCCGCCCCACCCCCACAAGGGCTGGACAGACACCCCGCAGGCTGCAGAGTCAGAAGCCAATGCTCCCACTGCCTGAGAACTATCGGGTGCCCCTCAGTTGCGACGGCCTGGCACTGCCGGCTTTTCCTCCACAGCAGGGTTCTTGTTTGTGTTTGAGACAGGCTCTTGCTGTGTAGGTCAGACTGGCCCTGAACTCACTGTGTAGCCCAGCTTTGAACGTGCACCAAGCCTCCTGCCTCAGCCTCCCCAGTGCTGGGATCACAAGTGTGTGCCACCACACCTGACACCAGCAAGGGTCTTGTGAAAAGAAATAGGTACAAAGATATGGGAAGTACTTTTGGATTATCCACCCATACCCAAATGGGAGGTTATCAGGTGTGGCTGGGCCATGATTGGGAACAATGTTCATTAAAGGCTTGCAAAGGCCTGATAAATATGTAAGTAGGATATTTATGAGGAAGTAGTTCTTCCCGTGTTCAAGAGTTCTTTGAAGCATAATCCCAGCACTCAGGAGGCTGAGGCAGGAGGATCTCGGGAGCTCAAGGCCAGCCCAAACTACATAGCGAGACCCTGCCAAAAAAAAAAAAGAGGGCCTGGGGATTTAGCTCAGTGGTGCTGGGCCTGCCTTGCAAGCACAAGGTCCTGAGTTCGGTCCCCAGTACCAAAAACAGAAGAGTTCTTTGCTTCCTGAAGGGGTCTGCCACATGATGCCACCAGCAGGTTGCTTGCGTGCCCTGAGCATGGCTCGGGCGTTGGTCACAGCTGAGTGTGCATGCGTGTGTGTGTGCATGCGTGTGTGTGTGCATGTGCAGCCCATCCCCTCAGCACCACGCCGAGCTGCCCCGGATGTTCCTACACGTTGGATTGCGGAAGAAGACTGGTTCACCGCCAGCTTGTCAGGCACTCGTGCATTGCGTAACCGTGGTGCAGGAAACCACTGATTTTCCTGGATGAGGCCGGGCTGATGAGCTCGAGTTCCGTTCAGCCTGGTTGGTGCCAAGAAGGCTCCCGCAAGGCCCGTGATCCCCTCAGGGTTCCCGTCCCATCTCCCCACTTCGCCGTGCTTCCTGGGGACAAGGCAGGCGTGTGGCAGATGTCATGTCCCCGACCCTGAATTCCAAAACAGTTAAAAAGTGTGGGGACGTGTGTAGAGCAGACAGTATTTCAAAAGCTCGGAAGTAAACCTGGTATGTTCCTGCCATCGAGACGCTTTCCTGTTGTTTAAGGTTTAAAATAATCTTGGAAGCAGCGATCACCGTTTATTCAGATCCACAGGCTTATAGAAGCTGAGTGCCTAACTTTCCCGTCCTCCTTGTACTCGGTCTTTTCAGTCCTGGGGATCGACTCTCGAAGGAGCTCCACCCCCGTCCTTTAAACGTTGTTTTAAAATTTAAGCCGAGGTCTTCATCAGGCACGAAGTTGCCCAGGGCTGCAATTCTCGATCCTCCCTGTCCGCCTCCCAGGGTGCTGGGATTACAGCACGTGCCACCAAGCATCTGACTTGCAAATCGCACATTTGGGAGGTGGCACAGTTAGCCTCCAACCCCATCTGCTTGCTCCTGGCCCTGCCCTTGCTCCTCCGTGTGCCCCCATGGTCTCCTAATGAAGAACTTCTGTCCAAACCCCGGGAGCTGAGCTGTAGGAGCGCAGACCCCCCTCGGGCCTCCCCCGGCACCTGGGGGGCCCAGTCGGGGAGATCCACGGTCGGAGCAGCCTCGAGGGTTGTGAACCACCTCTTACGCTCCTGTGGGCTCAGTGTGTGCGCTGTGGGGGGCAGGTCGGCCAGACGCGGGGGGGTCCCGGATGCGAGGCTGACGCCGAGCATAGAGTCCCTCCCTTCTGAGCCCCTCGCCCTGACTTTTGCATCTAGCCCTGTCGCTGGCTCTTGGCTCATTGTGGTCTTCATTCCTGTCTATCGCCTGGATGCAGATCAACCTCTCCACCCAGCCTGAGGGGGTTCCTTGCTCTGCCCCTGACCTGGAAGGCCGCCCCCCACCAGGTCGCTGGGTGCTGGGAGGGTTGGGGTAGAAGGCAGCA